GTACCTCGATGTGGTGTAACATAGATAATGTAGCCGATACAGTACATATCTGCGTCAGCATGGTTCACTGACTAATAGAATTATGAGGGGATAGTTTGTCTTATCCCTATTCCAGCATCACCAATCGGTCTGTCTATGATATTTCTAGGCACCCATCACCGTAGTATCTGAGCATCAGGACAACACATCTATTGAAATTAGTTGTTTGTTAATGCTCATTTCTGTTTTTGACAATTTGGAACATTGGAGAAATTAAAATGTCCTTTAATTTTTGTTTTAAATCCAAACAGTATAAAAGTTGAAGCTATAATCCCTATGGGCCAGATTTCAATTGCCTTCCCAATGCTGCATTCTTTACCCCTTAAGTAGTCCCTTTGAAGCCTATACAGCTACTCAAGGCATAAAGTACCTATGCATATCAGAAGTGAGTAAGGACATCCCAATCTCACCCTGAGGTGGTGGTGGTTATTATTAGTTGTTGTTATTATCTTTCTTTTTCTGCCAGCAACAGGGAGCTGCACACAGCTATAATTGAAGGTAGAGATTATGTGAAATGTGTTTTGAATAATATATGAATCAGTCAGACATATTTAATATGTATTTAAAAATAAAGATAAATACAACAGGTATTTCCTTAGAGCATCCCCTTTTGAGTTGAGGAGAGGAGATTTGGGAAATGCAGCTCCTTGATAATCTTTGCGCAGTCTCTCTCTCAAATCATTACATAACAGAAGCAGAGTTTTCTTTCTGAGGTACTTGCTATGGTTCTTCTGACACCCCTCAAAACAATTCAGTAGAGTCCCTGAATATATGCTAGAATCATAGGTTACCCCCACCAGCTCTACGCTCTCCCAGCTGCTTGACCATGAGTGCAATGGATCCACTGAGACGCATCTTCCTCACATCTGATTGCTTCAGAGTATTATATCACAGGATTATAGCCCCTCTGCTCATTTCCAGCTTCGTTGTCACTCTTCTATGTGACTCCCTTTCTCCTACCCTCTCCAAGGGTACGTCTATACTTACCTCCGGGTCCGGCGGTAAGCAATCGATCTTCTGGGATCGATCCCGGAAGTGCTCACCGTCGATGCTGGTACTCCTGCTCCGCGAGAGGAGTTCACGGAGTCGATGGGGGAGCCTGCCTGCCGCGTCTGGACCGCGGTAAGTTCGAACTAAGGTACTTCGACTTCAGCTACGTTATTCACGTAGCTGAAGTTGCGTATCTTAGTTCGAAGTGGGGGGTTAGTGTGGACCAGGCCCAATTCTCCTGAGAGTTCATTGAGGAGGCAGTAGGGAGCCAGAACAAGATCAAGGGGTAATACCAGGAAGACTGATCACCTAACCTCATGTAAAATTTAAATGGTTCATTGAGTTAAGAATCCTTATCCTTAATTAGGGGATTGGCGCCTTTTAGGAGGCTTCAAATTAAATCCATACTTAGGTCACAATCAGTAGTGTAGTTGAGAGCAAACGTGTGTAAACAGAGTCTACCTCACTTCTCATTTGTGGAATACGGAGTTTAGGTTAGGTTAGGTTACCTTCTTTTCTTTTCTTTTTATTTGTCGATGCAACAAGAGCTCTCCAGGTTCTTGTGCAAGAGTAGTGGCCTGTGCAGATCCCTATTGACATGTAGATTGTGTTCTAGCATTAGGACCTATTCCAGAAATTTTACAGATGGAGAGATCAAACTCCTTTTAAGGTCAATGAAAAGTCTCTCTGACTTCAAATGGAGTCTGATTGGGCCTTGTGACATCTAGCAAGGAACCAATATTTATGATACTGAATAACAACATTTAAAAAAAACAATAACTGGTTGACGAAAACACAAATTATTTTTGAGAGAAAAAAAAATCAGAGTTTGCTTTATGCTGTGTACAGTTTTATTCTAAAGATAATATCAAATCACTCAGAAACATGAACTGTGATGGTAATGAATTTATGTTATAATACAAACTGTGTGTGTATATATATATATATATATATATATATATATATATATATAATAAACT